AATCGACAATATTTTTTAAAACGATTTTTGTCTCTTGAGACAGCTTCTCTTGAAAAATCTTTGAGTTTGTTCCTTTTGAATAAAAATCTTGGAGTTTGTTCCTTTTGAATAAATATCTTTGAGTTGTTTCTTTTGAAAAAATCTTTGAGTCTATTTATTTTAAAACAAAGTTTTGTCTCTCTTGAGACAGTTTCTCTTGAAAAAAAAATCTTTGAGTTTGTTCCTTTTGAATAAAAATCTTGGAGTTTGTTCCTTTTGAATAATATCTTTGAGTCGTTTCTTTTGAAAAATCTTTGAGTTTGTTTCTTTGGAAACAAAATTTTTTCTCTCTTAAGATAGTTTCTTTTGAAACAAAAATCTTTGAGTTTGTTTCTTTGAAACAAAATTTTGTCTCTCTTAAGATAATTTCTTTTGAAAAAAATCTTTAAATCTGTTTCTCTTAAAATGAATTTTGTATCTCTTGAGACCGTTTCTTTTGAAGTAAATCTTTGAATATGTCCATTTTGAAATCTTGAGTTTGTTTCTCTTAACAAAATCATCTTTGAGTCAATTTCTTTAAAAACAAATGTTGTCTCTCTTGAGACGGTTTCTAATGAAAAAACTAACTTTTGAGAGTGTTTCATTTGAAACAATTTGGTCTCACTTAAGATGAGATCCATCATTTGAGTCTGTTTCTTTTGAAACAAAATTTTATCTCTTAAAGACAATTTCTTTTGAAAAAATCTTTGAGTCTATTTACTTTGAAACAAAGTTTTGTCTCTCTTGAGACAATTTTTGTGAAAAAATCTTGAGATGTTTCTTTTGAAAAAAAAATCTTTGAGTTTGTTTCCTTTGAAACAAAATTTTGTCTCTCGAGACAACTTCTTTTGAAAATACCCACCTTTGAGATCGTTTAGACAACTTCTTTTGAAAATACCCACATTTGATATCGTTTCTATTAAAACAAATTTTGTCTCGCATGAGACAGTTTCCTTTCAATGACATCTTTGTGTCGTTTCCCTTCAAACGAATTTTGTCTCTTGAAACATTTTCTCTTAAAACAAGATCATCTTTGAGTTTGTTTCTCTGGAAACCAGGTTTTATCCCTTAAAACAGTTTCTTTTGAGAAAAATCTTTGAGTTTGTTTCTTTGGGAACAAAATTCACCATCTTTGAGTCTGTTTCCTTTGAAACAAAACAAACATCTTTGAGATCATTTCCCTTTAAACGAATTTTGTCTCATTTGAGACAGTTTTCCTTTAAACAATCTTTGAGTCGTTTCCTTTGAAACAAAATTTTGTCTCTTTGGAGACAGTTGCTTTTGAAAACACATATTTGAGTTTGTTTTTCTTGAAACGAATCTTTGGGTTTGTTTCTTTTGAAACAAATCTTTAATTTGGTTTCTCTTGAAACCATAATTCCTTAAGATGGCCAACCGTCCTCATCACGTAGGAATCGTGTCATCCCCAGACCAGATCTCTTCATCACGTATGAGCCGTGTCACCCTAGATTAACCAGCCGTCCTCATCACGTAGGAACCGTGTTATCACCTTTAGATGGCCAACCGTCCTCATCACGTAGGAATCGTGTCATCCCCAGACCAGATCTCTTCATCACGTATGAGCCGTGCACCCTAGATAACCAGCCGTCCTCATCACGTAGGAACCGTGTTATCACCTTTAGATGGCCAGAACTCTTCATCACGTATGAGCCGTGTCATTCCCTGACCAGATCTCTTCATCACGTATGAGCAGTGTCAACCCTCGACTAGATTTCCTCATCACGTAGGAACCATGTCACCCTTAGACGACCCGAACTCTTCATCACGTATGAGCAGTGGCATCCCCAACAACCAACATTATCCGTTTATAGGAAAATGAAAGGAACCAGACAAAAACGTGTTGTATTGTCGTCTTTGCCCTATTCTTGTTAACACAAGAATGTGCAAAGAGGGGCAGCTGTAGACACCCGTTTTTGTCCGGGTCTTTTTTTTGTATATATTATCGTTATATTATTATTTATTATTATTATTATTATATTATTATTATTATTATTAATTTACATTTACAAATTTTGCAGGCCTAATCCTTAAGCCCACAGCATACCCAACAAGCTGGAGCAGACCCGGTTCAGGCCCAATACCAATCCCAGGCCCACTTGACAACCCAGCTAGGGTTTCATCTCAAGGTCCAGCCGCCTCATTCTGGCCGTTGGATCTGGACCCATCCAACGGTCCAGATCATGCAAAATTAGGGTTTCAAAACCCTAAATCATCATCAACCCTAATCCCCTAAAGGCTCAGCCGCCGCTTTCAACTTCTCATCTCTAGCCGCCGTTCAAGCCGAGCGTCCCTCGCCGACAGCCTCTGACGCCGGCTGCCTGCATCCATAGTGACCGAAGGCCCCCACAGTCATCTACAGTAACCACAGCAACCCCATCAGTCCCAAATCAACCCAAATCAAATAAAAAAAAATCCCTATATCCCGAAAACCGGGATCCTATCACCCTAAATCAGAAACCCATTCCTAAGTCTGGACGATCCTATTCTTTTCTAGACATCATCATCTCAACAAAATCCAACAAGCAAAAAGGAAAGATAAAAGACCAAAGAGGGGGATATGGGGCATTCGGTGAGAACAAAAAAAAAGATAGAGAGCATTCGAAAAAAGAAAAATAACATATAGAGAAAGAAAAAAAGAAAGTCTTACCCTTGTAGATTTATCCCTTATCAACCTCACCAGAGCTTGAAAACCCTGAATCGAAGGTAAACGTTCTTTTTTTTCTTGAATCTAGGTTTGGATTAAAAGGGGTCTCGGTTTTTTTTTTGGGGTGAAGGGTTGGGCTTTCAAAGGAAATGAGGAAGAAAGAGGATTGAGGGTCTTTAGGGGTCGGTTATGGACCCAAAACGACGTCGTGTAAAAGGTTCAGGGTTGCGTGTTTTAGCATGAAAGGGGTAAACCACGCTTTTGGTCCCTGATACTTTGTAACCGCACGATTTAGCCATGGAATGAAGTTTACATTATTTCAATTTGAGCCTTTATCTTTTCACTTTTACATTTAGTCACTATCCTAGGTATTATAACATTTTGTTTATATTTGGTTCTGGTTTCAGTATTTATAAATGTTACATCTTAGCCACTGATTTAATTTCATGTATGTTTCTTTGATATTCGAATCTGGCCATCACATTTATAAATATTATTTTAGTCCTTTAATGTATGTTATGTCATTTTTGGATATTTGACTTTGGTCCCAATGTTTGTAATAGTTTCATTTTAGTCACTAATTTCGTTGTGTATTTTGTGAATGTTCGAATTTGGACAGGATATTTATGTATTTTACATTTTAGTCACTGTTGGGTATTTGTTTAATTATGTTCGGTCCCTCATGCTATATCATAATATTTTTGTTTATGTTCGATTCTGGTTTTAATATTTACAAGTGTTTCATTTCGTCACTGAATGTTACCTTTTTATTTAATTAGTATTTTTAATTTACTTTGTTTACATTATGGTCAATGTTTTAGTATAAATACTTTAGGTAAATTTATTGTTTGCCCTTACGCATTTATGTTTTAATTTGTTTAGTCCCTTAATTACTTACTTTGTATTTATTTTGGTTTGTAATGTTTATTATTTTATTTTAGTCATTGTATATTAATGTATTTTACATATTACATGGTTATTTGTATTATGTAATAATGTGTTTAATTCCACTTAATGTAAATATTTGTATTTCCAATTACATTTATTCTCATTATATTCTTATGTATGTACGAAATATTTGATTTTATTTCAAGAACATGTATGCGTAGAATGAGCGGAAAGTACCATTTGGACGAAGTGGTGCGATCCGTACGACATTTTAACGACATAGGAACTTGAAATAAGTCGAGTATATTTTACTAATTAATTTGTTCAAATGATGCAATTCGTGTTATTTTAAGTGACAATTTACTTTATTTTATTTTAATGTAAATTCCAATTTTGTTAATTTATATATGATTCATTTTTAGTTAATCAATTTATGTAAATGTCATTTTTTTTATTTATATTCGATTTGCATTTTTAATATAAATGAGGAGGGAATATTCTTTAATTGATAAGAAATATTCGAGTTAGTTTTCCCGACGGAGGATTGCTAATATCAATGTTTCTTTTCAAGTTAAAGAATTTTCCCTAATAATTATTTGAAGAAAATTAATATTCAATAAATGGATCATAATTTAATTTTATATTCGATTCATACTTTCCATCATTTACGACAATGTGTAAGCGACACAGTACCATTTTTGGGCGCTGTGGGGGTGCTTACCCTTCCCCACACGTAACCGACTCCCGAACCCGTCAAATTTGATTTCTGGTAAATGTAGACCATTTTTGTCTAAAAAATGATTTTTCTTAAATTTCTTTTAAAAAGACGTTTTTAGGTATTCGACCTACCTAACCCAAAGGTCGATGGCGACTCTATTCAATTTAATCCAAATTAATCCAAAATACTCAATTTTTCAAAATAAAATTCATAATCGTTTTAAAAATAATATTTAATTGTTTTAAAAAAAATGGTTATGACAGATAAAACTAAAAGATTTTTTTTATTGTTTTAGAAAATGATAGGAAGAAAATGATAGGAAGAAAATAAAGGAGTAAAACTTATGGGTAAGTGGCTAAAAAACAAAGAAAAAATCACAGATAAGCAAATAGCATGAAAGTTATATGTAGGTTAGCATTTAAGGAGGAAATCTACATTCGATCTTTGAAGATGACATTGTTAAAAGGAATGTTTCAACACAGACTTTTACAATTATATCTCAGTTTCATTTAACAGCCATGTTAAATTGAATTACCAAATAGCCTGTAGGAAGGAGAAGAAATGGCAATGTGTGAAAAGACAACACTTCTACTTTCCATGAACATGTCGTGGTCCACACACAATTACCGCCATTCATGCCTCAATGAAAGAAAAAAAGAAAGCAATGGTTGACAACTTTAAGAGCGCTTGTTTTCTGCTGTAAATCCTACACTTCCAAAAGACTGAAACCCTCCTCCATTTGCCCTTCAATGGCTAAGTATCGGAGGCCAAACCCACATTTCACCTTCCTCTTCCTCACCTTGTTTGCTTATTGCTTCTTTCAGGGCAAGTCATCGTCTTGGCTCAACACCGAAGCCAATGAAGTTGTAATGGTGCAAAGCAGGCGTCAGGATTGGCCTAAGAGATGTGATTTCTCAGTTGGTAAATGGATTTATGATCAATCGTACCCTTTGTATGACTCCAACTGCCCATATCTTAGTACTGCAGTCACCTGTCAAAGAAATGGAAGACCAGATTCTGGCTACGAGAAGTGGAAATGGAAGCCGAATGGTTGTTCTCTTCCAAGGTACCTACTTCCAATATAATATCGTTTGCAGATGCCGGGATTCGAATCCCGATCCTCTAAATTCTATCTTTGATTTCTTGAGCTGATATTATGGTTTCAGGTTTGATGCACTGAAATTTCTTGGGAAGATGAGAAGGAAAAGGATAATGCTGGTGGGTGATTCTATTATGAGGAACCAATGGGAGAGTCTGGTCTGCCTGGTGCAAGGAGTTATACCAACAGGACATAAGAAGGTGACCTACAATGGTCCTTCAATGGCCTTCCATGCCTTGGTAAGAGGGATATATGAATGGAAAAAAAGAACCCTTTTCTTTGTGAATGCTACTCAAGCAAATGGATTGATTTATTACAGGATTTCGAGACATCGATCGAGTTTTCTTGGGCTCCTTTGCTTGTGGAGCTGAGCAAAGGAGCTGACAACAAGAGGGTCTTGCATTTGGATCTGATTGAGGAGAATGCAAGATATTGGAGAGGTGTTGATGTTCTAGTGTTTGACTCGGCACACTGGTGGACTCATTCTGATCAATGGAGTTCGTAAGTATATTCATATCGAACACATAACTGTATTCAACTCTCGTATCTAAGTTCGAGTAACATAAATACCGAGTACTCGGAGCAGTAACTGATGACAAAATTGTCTTCCAACAACACATATACAGGTGGGACTATTACATGGAGGGAAAATCTCTCTATAAAACCATGAATCCAAATATTGCATACCAGAAAGGACTCACAACATGGGCAAAATGGGTCGAATTGAATCTGGATCCTCGAAAATCCAGAGTAATTTTCAGAACAATGTCGCCTAGGCATAACAGGTACTTTATGTTCCTTTATATCTCCATGCCTTCTTAAACAAAGCTGATTTTTTTTCTTATATTTTTTGTTCATTGCAGAGAAAATGGGTGGAAATGCTATAACCAGAAAACCCCCCTTAAAATTTTCAGCCACCCTCATGTTCCTGATCAAGTTGTAGTACTTAAAGGGGTATTAAGAAGAATGGGATTTCCAGTACATCTACATGACATTACGACGATGTCAGCTTTTCGAAGAGACGCGCATCCTTCTGTTTATAGAAGGGCGTTGAACCAAGCACAGAGGCAGCACGCAAGGGAGTTTTCGTCCGACTGTAGCCATTGGTGCCTCCCTGGGGTGCCTGATATTTGGAATGAGATGTTGAGTGCAATGCTCTAAGAAAGTCACCAATGGTGAATTTGTTTTAACTGTTTCTTCCAAAAATGTAGTCTTTGCACTCTCTTCAGGGTTTTTGTATGAAAATGTTAAGAGAGAGTGTCTGTGTATATGTTTGGCACGCTCAATTCAGTAAATCATCCGTTTATTTGTGTGTTGATCGAGTGTTCATGTTACTTGAGGAAATGTTCTGCAGTCTTTTACTTCGTTTTTTTTCACCCTGCTTACAGTAGTACGTGTTTCTACTGGAACATAAAACTGCCCAGTACTATATGTGAAGTGCCAAGGAAGGTTCCATAGTTGTAATCTATTTGATTTGATTTTTTTAATTTTCGTGCAACACTTGTATTAGACATGCGCGACAAATGGTTACTTTCTTGTAACCATTTCACATAAAACAATTAACTGACCAGACAAAATGTATATGCAACGGTCAGAAGTAACACATTTTTATTAGTCAAAAGTAGAGTAGTCGTTAACAACCATCAACAGTATCTCACAAATGGTACTATTGTTAATGTTAATGTTAACATTTGCTGAGTGTTAGAGCCAAAGTTAATGTTAATACATCAGACGTACTCGTTAACAACCATATTTTCAGCAGGTCAAGTGGATTCAACGTGCAGGGACATACAACATAATCACAGCACAGACCAAACCTCCAAAATTTGAAACATTTCACATCATTTAGTTTGTGTAACCAACCTTTAGTTTCATATGGGATGCAGGTCGCCTAAGTGTGTGTGAAGTCCCGAGAAACATCCCAGAATGCGTTGTGCAACATGAACCTATAAATCTAGAGAGGAAAAAAAAATAGTTTTGATATCCTGAGCTCCCATAGGAATTGGTACAAGAACCAACGAATTTGGTTTATAGGGTACATTTTCAAGTATTAATAGCTATCAATATCGGTTTCCGGCCTTCTATGGTAATAACGCAGGCAATTCACCAGCACCTGCAAGATATGCAGTTAAAATTTAAGAGCAAGGGAATCACACAAATCCAGTAGAAGTTTGACAAGAAACATTATTTATTGGCCTTATTTTTCAAAATGAATAGATTCATTCGAAAAGTAAAGAACATTTGATACTTAGGCAACTGAGAAAAAGCAATTTGACAGTTTAAACAGAATAAATTGACAACCTATTGACAGTTATAATGATCTTAAGTCAAGCATCAGCTACCCTATAGTCGGGTATTTGTACCCTAAGCAAAATCACCGGACAACGACTGTTTCCTCACTGATCGTGATTTTTTGTTTATATTAAAAGGAGTGATCTGTTCACAGCACGACATCAATTTGTTCATCAACATAGGCAAAGGTGTTTGTCTGAATATTTTGAGAGGCCATCTCTTTTGAGAGAACTAGAGCAATTTGCAGCATGCTTTCAGACGAGCTTCAGATGTATAAACGCCTAGCTCAAGACCCTCGTTTCTCAATTTTGGAAAATAATGCAAGGCTTTTCCGGTGTCACTCAATGAAAGCGTAGCCATGCATGATGGTTGTGTATGTATGCTCATTTGAAGTTACGCCAGCCACTGTCATCTCACCAAATATTTCAACTTTATCCATCTGCGAAAATTAATATTATTATCATAACATAATAGAGGAAAAGAAAGCAAAAAGAACATCACATTTCCCAATTCCCTCCAAACTTCAAACAGACAGACAGTCCACTCTTCTTTTCCTTTTTCCCAGCTTCTCTAATTATTCCATTTTACTATTTTTTATGAAGACAAATAGAGTGTTTATTCCGTTCTTTGTTCTAAATAAAGTGTTTTAAAATCATACAAAAATAAAAATAAAAATTACCATTAAAGCTACCAACTTTTAATTTATGGACAAAACTTTATATACTAAAAATAAAAGAGAAGGCAAAGTTAAATCACATGCAAACCACTTTCCCATACAAAAGACCAAAATTTTGCCTCACTAACAAGAAAAGCATAAACCCCAACTTCCACTTGTATATATAAAGCTCGATGGCTGCTGCCTTCGTTTGGTAGCTGATAATCGATCAAATTCTTTGCTTTTCTTGTTATGTAGATGAAACCCACCGAGGTTGAAGCTCTAAGTGTTTGATTTTCATTTCTTGATTCCCAGTGTTTCAGAGTAGTTTGTGTTTAGATTTGTTGTTTAAAACAGTAGAAAAAATATGAGAGCTGGAGTTTGCACCGTGCAGCAAGCTTTAACAGCTGAGGCTGCTAGCATGGTGAAGCAAGCACTCGGCCTCGCTCGACGGCGAGGCCATGCGCAGGTGACTCCGCTTCATGTCGCGAGCGCCATGCTCGCGACGACGACCGGTCTTCTTCGAAGAGCTTGTCTTCAATCTCATTCCCATCCACTTCAGTTTAGAGCTTTAGAGCTTTGCTTCAATGTCGCACTCAACCGTCTGCCTGCATCGACTTCTAGCCCTTTATTAGGCCCTCATCACCATCATCCTTCCCTCTCCAATGCCTTGGTGGCCGCGTTTAAGCGCGCTCAGGCACACCAACGCCGAGGCTCTATCGAGAACCAACAGCAACCTATTTTAGCTCTCAAAATAGAGTTAGAACATCTCATAATCTCCATCTTGGATGATCCGAGTGTTAGTAGGGTTATGAGGGAAGCCGGTTTCTCTAGCACTCAAGTTAAAGTTAAAGTAGAGCAAACAGTTTCCATGGAGATCTCTTCCCAAACTCCCTCCCCAAAGGAAAACAACCCCAACCCACAACCTCTCGGTGCTAACCCGAACGCTCAGACTCATTTCGAGTTCGGATTTTCATCGAGCAAACTGCTAGACCGAGTTAGGAACGACAGAGATGTGACCAATGTTTTGAGCACGATGATGAATAGGAAGGGAAACACCACCATCATAGGAGTCAGTCGCCGTTGCTGAGAGTGTCGTTAGAGGAGTGATGGATAAGTTGGAGAAAATGCAAGTCTCTGGGGATTTAAGATACCTTCAGTTAATCAGTTTTCCACTGTTTTCAATCAAAAATCTTGGTAAAGATGAAGTGGAGCAGAAGCTTTTAGAGCTTAATTGCCTTGTAAAAAGATATATGGGAAAAGGGGTTGTCTTGTACGTAGGTGATCTCAAATGGATTTCAGAGTTTTGGTCAAACTATGGTGATCAAGGAAGGAACCACTATTGCCCAGTGGAGCATATAGTCATGGAACTCAAAGATTAGTGAGTGGGAAATTGTTTCTCATGGGAATTGCAACTTTTAAAACTTACATGAAGTGCAAATTAGGCCATCCTTCTCTTGAATCAATTTGGGAGCTTTATCCTCTTACAATTTCAGCTGACAGCTTAAGCCTCAGTCTTAATCTTGAAAGGTAAATTATTTGATTTATTTTCTCGAGAAATAAAAAGGGTTGTTTGTTTTACTTATGGCTAATTATGCTAATCATTTTCTTTTCCATTTTTTGCTTTATTCCAGCTGTGATTCTCGGTCTCAGTATAGAGCAAAGGAATCTATAGATTCGATTACTTGGTCAGTGGATGAAGCTGAAGTAAATAAGAATCAAAGTTCCTTCACTGATAGATTGTTCAACTTTGACAATGTTGTCTCTTCCAGTTCAAGTTTGCCTTCATGGCTGCAAAGCTACAAGGAAGAAACCAGAACAAATCCTTCCCATGATAATAAGGTATTTATCCTTCTCCTTTGAACTCAAGTTTGCAGAATTAAGCGTTGAAACAAGTTAAAATTCACATTTTCTTTTACTTTTTTATTTCACAGGAAGCTCTTAATCTAAGCTGGCCAGTCATTTTTGAATCCAAGAAGTCGCCTAAAGAGTTCCAGTTTTGGATATCTAAAAATGACCCCAAACCGGAACTCCTCTCGAATCCGAACTCTAGCCCGAATTCGGCTTCTTCGAGTGAGGCGATCGAGGGGGATATCGACGGATATAACGCGTTCAAGGCTCTTAATGCTGAAAACATGAACATTTTATTAAATGCTTTGGAGAAACAGGTTCCATGGCAGAAGAATGTGATTCCTGAAATCGTTAACACCATCCTAGAATGCAGGTCGGGGATGAGAGAAGGCAAAATCTGGTTAAACCAAAGAGAGCTCAAAGAAGAAACTTGGCTGTTCTTCTTAGGATCCGATAACGAAGCCAAGCAGAGGATTAGTAGGGAGTTAGCAAGGCTCGTGTTCGGTTCCCAAACCAGCTTTGTCTCCATAAGCCCGAGCGATTTCGGATCGAAAAGGGCCGATCCGAACCAGCATAACAAGAGGAAGAGATCAGATGAGTCAGGCAACGGTGATCATGTTCTTAGTAGATTGGCCGAGGCGTTGAACGAGAACCCTCACAGGTTTTCTTCGTGAAGACATGGAGCCGTTAATTACGGTTGTCTGAAAAGGATGAAGCATGCAATTGAAACCGGAAATGTGACAGTTCCTGATGGTGTTACGGTTCCTGCAATGGATGCCATTGTCATTTTCAGCTGCGAAAGCTTCAGTTCGATGTCGAGGGCTTGTTCTTCGAGGAGAAGGCCGAAAGGCAGCGACACAGAAGTGATGAAAGAATCAGAAACAGAGCAGGACAAAAGCCAATCTGTTTCTCTGGATTTAAACATTGCCATTGGAGATAACAGTGAGGAAAGTGAGAGTGAAATTGGGATACTGAAATGTGTTGATAACCAAATCGTTTTTAAAGAAGAGTAACAGCGGTGGAAGAAGATGGTGATGGAGGAGGCAACTATTTCTTTCTTTTTTTTTACTTTGATTTTTGTTTCTCTAACGTTGTGTGTGGTATATCTGTTTGGAGGGATAGAAAGAAAGAACGAAAATAACATGGTTTACAGTGAAATTGTGGTTGAGGAATGACAGATTTAGCAGTGTACAACTCATAATATTATCACGGTATAAATCCCACATTAGTTGTGTATAAGGAGGAGGGGAAATTCTTTTGTTATAAATAGAACCCTCCTCCTCCTTAATTTAGCATCCCACAAATATAAGCGTTTTTTCACTATTAAAGGCTATTTGTATTCTTTCTATCTTTGTAATATTTTCTCTATTAGTGAAATATTATTTTAGTAGTGTTCGAGGAGGTATGCATAATTTTGGCATAATCTCGTTAAATTTTGTTGTTCTCTTTATGTTTAATTAATAGCTATTATCGGTTATAGTTGTTAATTATTGTCCTATTAAAATTACTTGTGTTGGT